GTACATCTGTGAATTGTGTTAAGATTTAACATTTTATTTTGTTTTCTGTCATTATGCTACAGACTTAACTAGCATTCTTCACCCCTCCCAGAATATGCAGTTGCTTTTAAATAATAAAATTTATTTATTTTTTAGTTAAATCTTATGGCTGTAACTCATTTCTCTGCTGTCTAGCTTATACCAGTTGCTGTCAAAGGATGCAAGGGAGGCTATCCTGTCTCAGGGAAGGCAGAGACCATTGTTTGGTTATTGATAACAAGAACTGACAGCACTGAAACTCCGCCAGTTTTGTCCTTTTACAACCCCCAACATCTGGCAGAAACTGGCTTGTTCTTAATGACTGTAATTACCATCAGATACTGCCCGAATTTACTTGTATCAACTTCAGTTTTTTTGATTTACATTGAACAGCTTCAGAACTGAGAGTGAAATGCTCAAGAATTTTAATTTCATGCAAATGTTGAAAACATGCAAAAATCGTGAGAAACTGCTAATTTAGGGCTGGTTGCAAAACAGAATTTATAAGCCTTCAATGCTGCCCTTCTATATTTCCCATTTCCTACCTTGTCATTGGAAATTCATTTTTATATTTGATCTACAGAAGTGCATTAAATTCACCTGTGGTGCAGTTAATTTTATTTTAGATGATTTTCCTATGCACAAGTTTACACTACAAGTAATTCATATGTCTGTATCTATATGTCTGCCTGTGTATCTGCTTATTATTTGTGTCACTTCTGCCTTGCCCCTATTTTGAGTGGTAAAAAAAATTAACACACCTAGTCCCACCAGCATAGTCTGTTTTAAAATACTGTCATTTGCTGCTGCTTTAAGACTACGAGTCAGATGGTCTTTCTTCTAGATTAGGGCAGACCAGTTCTTCTCTCAGAGCATCTCTGTAATGATTCTCGCTGTACTTACTTGGTTCACCCGCGACAGAGCAGGGCGTAAACCCACATGTCTGATCAAGGATTGCATCTGCAGCTTCCATGGTGAGGCAGAAGAGGAGTCAGGGAGCCTCTGCAACCTTAAGTTCTCTGTTTTCTCAGAATCTGTCTCTTTGTTTTCCCTGGAATTCGCAGTGATTCAGACAGGGAATCCTGAGTGTGGGCCCTTCCTGGGCATTCCTAGCCTGATGGGAACTCACTAGAGTGGGGGTATGTATTGTCCAGCTTACTTTCTCCCCATGGGCCAGGAGGGAACATTTTGCCTTTCCTGGACTTTGCAAATTACTCAGTACTCCCCCGCGCCGCCAACCTTTTTTTTTTTTTTTTTTTTCTCTCTCTTTCCTTTTTTCTTTGGTGGTTTAGAGGTTGGTTGGAAATGTGTACTGGGGACATGTAGTCCAGGAAAATCGCTCAGAGAAGAGGACGTAGAGGGAAGACAGAAAAATAAGGAAACAAGCATGTTTATAAAGCTGAAATTTTTAGATTTTGAGGAAATGTATTTACGTTACCATCACATAATAATAAAAGGGAAGACTTGGCACTTAAATATCTTACTTCAAGAGGAAATTAATGACGTTTTAAAGCCACAAATAGAGCAGTTTGTAAGCAGGCTTGAGTAGGTACAAGTAAAACATAAACATTCTGCCCAAATGATTTTACTGTACTTAAGCCAGAAAATGCTAGCGAGCCCCTCTCTCTGCTCCTTATCTCCCTCAGGCCCCTTTGTTGAAACACAAGAGTGCTGCCTCTGAGTTCTGCCTCTGAGTGCTCAGTTAAAGTTACTAGTGTACATATGTGTGTCTGTATATACAGAGAGAGAGAAACAGTGTAATTTAGGGGTAGATGATGTTGATGCTAATGTTTAATCCCCAAACTGGATATATATGACTTTAAGTAAGACAGCCACTTATTTTAGTTGTCTCTTGACAAGCTTTCTGTTGGATCTTTCTGATGGTACTATGCTTATTAATATACACGGTGATACTTTGGAGAGGAGCCATTTTCATCAACAAAACTTACCATGTATACCTACTATATTATAGGGCATTTTGCTGTGTAGTGAGGGTTATATTTACTTAAATTTTTGTGACTTACAGAAAGCCGCTTCCAGGGTGAAAATTCCCTAGGCTATTTGTTTGAAGCTTACTTTGATTTAATCTGTAATGTTTTTTCTTACATGCTCATGAGTGAAACAATGGGAATTGTGCTTTAGAGAGAAATATTGAAAATGAGCGTTCATGAGGTATTGTCTGAGAATGTTCTGGTGTTCAGGGTTTTGCTTCAAGCTCTGTCCCTTTAGTCCTCCTGGTAACGCCCTGGCTCCCCTTCCCACCATTTAAAATCCTACACCTTCCTCAAGGCCCAGCTCAGTACCTCGTCCATCCCTGCCAGCAAAGCATTCTTCTTTCTCAGATCTTACATTATGAAGGAGTACGTAGCATTTGTATTAATACCTTTTACCGATTTTACTTATTGCAGTAATAACCATATACAAATTTGTTTCCCCTCTTACTCTGTTGCGTTCTTACGAGCAGCGCTCCGCCTCGTCTTCCTCACTGCACCAAACCTTATTTACAGTGGCAGCAGGCGGCTTTTGTTAAGTGAGTAAAGTTCAGATGAGGGGAAAATAGTCAAGCACAGAAGCCCAAACAGCCCAGATCTAGCTGCTTTTCCCACCTGACTGGTGATATGTGATTAGAGGAGGAATGGCTTATTTAGCAAACGGACCTTTAACTGCAACATTTTAGTTAAGAGTAGAAGTTGTGTAAACCTGCATATAAATCCCAGTTCCACCATTTGCTAATTCTGTCAACAACCCTGTGCTGTAGGTGCTCCTGATTATATCCCCATTTTAAAAATGAGGTCATTAAAGCATGAGAGATAAAGTAACTTCTTAAGGTCACACAGGTAACCAAGTGGTCCAGCTTGGACCTGAATACTGGCCCTTAGTTTCTCTGCTCTGCTGCCCCTCATAGCCTGTTTTAGAGGATTCAATCATATTAAAAAATTGCTTGGTTCATAATAAAACAAAAACCAAACCCATTGCCATCGAGTTGATTCTGACTCATAGCAGCCCTATGGGACAGCGTAGAACTGCCCCCATGGGGTCTCCAAGGCTGATGGATTCAAACTGCCAACCTTTGAGTTAGCAGCCAAATGCTTACCCACTGTGCCGCCATGGCTCCGCGTGGTTCATAGTGAAGGCTAAATGAATAGTGACTGGACACACATTATACTTACTACCTGGCCAAAGTTGTGACTGCAGTACAGGACCTTGGGTCTTGGTTACATTGCTCCCACCAGCAGGAAGCTCAGGCATCAGCTCTCAGAATTGTATCCTCCCTGGTGACCTCTTTAATTGAATGTGTAATTTATGTAACCTCCCTTGACTGATACAGTGTTTCTTTATGTTACTTGAACTTGACTCTTAAAAATTAAATTTAACTCCTCTGCCCCCTTGGGTTGAAGTAGTGGCCAGAAGAAAGGATTGTAGTGAGGCCGAGACTGAGCATCTCAGATTATGCCGCGTGAAACAGCTGCTACGAGACAGTGATGCGATGTGCAGTCTTAGGTGTTGTTCTCTTGTGCCCGCCTTCCTCTTGGTCCTTGCTCTCCATGAACCTGTTGCTCTCTGGAGCCTTCCCTTAAGCCCTTGGTCTTCTCTTGACTTGCCCTTCCCTCTGATTTTTTCAATCTGGAAAGGCAGGAAGGCTCCTACGCAATTTAAAGGAATGGGGGAAAGAAGGTGATTTTAGGGGACAGAAGGAAAGGGGAGTAACAGGATTGAAACTCTGAGAGAGATTTTGAAATGTTGACGCGATCTTTTTGGGTTCATAGTGGCACAGTGGTTAAGTATTCTGCTGCTAACCAAAAGGTCAGCAGTTCGAATCTACCAGCTGCTCCCTGGAAACCCTATGGGGCAGTTCTACTCTGTGATGTAGGGTTGCTATGATTCAGAATTGACTCGACACCAACAGGTTTTTTTTTGTTGTTGTTGTTTTTTTTTAGGCAGTTACTAAGCACCTTAAGTAACAGTCATTTACAGTTTTCTCGGAATCATTATGAGTCTCTTTATTTAGTTCTTCTAGAACTTAAACCTCTGTCACTCTCTTGTTCTTTGTGTTCTTCTGTGTCATTTTGATTCTACTGATGGTGACCTACGTGAGCTTACTTATCAGATGTCCTTTTATTTTCTTACTGAGAGGAATTCAGCAAGCAGGAGCCAAAACAAAAAACCAAACCCACTGCTGTTGAGTCGATTCCAACTCATAATGACTCTATAGGACCAGTCATGGTCTTCCCCATCAGGATCACTGAAGATGCACCCCTCATTTCTTGGGTGCATCTTAAGACCTTCAGTGACAGCAGCTAGAATCAACTGAGGGAGGGGGAAGGGCGGGCAGGATGTGAGAGAGGAAGCCACTGTGCAGTGCACAGGAGGGAGCTGCCTTGGAGAGGGCGCAGAGGGAGGGCCGGGAGGCAGGCAGATCGTCACCCAAGGGACGTTGCTTACAGGGGCCTTGTGGGAGAGCTGGGGGAAGAAGGAGGGTCTCAAATTCACAAGGCTAGGTTTGGAAACTTTCAAGTCAGTGGAGTGGCACTGCCTCTTTTTGGGCTGTCTGTCATGTGTGAGCTATTGCAGCACTGGCTTCACATTGGCCAACCCAAAACAGAGCCTGGGAGGAGCCCCTCAGAAAACCTGTAGTTTCCACGTGGTGCGAGATTGTTCCTGAAAAGAGGCTGGTGGCATAAGGCCAGGGCTAGCAGATTATAGTTCATGGTCCTGTTGAAATACAACTCCTGTTTAAAGGGTATGGACCCGATGAGGTACGCTTGTTTGTTTTTTAAATGTTAGCCTTTACATTTACTTACCCTTTCAGCAGAATAAAAAGGGGAAAAATCCAATTTTTTCATTAGAAGCTATACACACTTATAAATCAAAACAGGGTGTTAATTACCGTTGTCAAAATGCTGATCTTTTATTATTGGTAAATTGATCAGACACGTTGTCATCAGCTCTTTTCATTTTGTTTTCCTTTTTTCTGTTTTTAGTTGCTGATATGTGTTCAAGATGAGTGGGATGGGAGAAAATACCTCTGACCCATCCAGGGCAGAGACAAGGAAGCGCAAGGAATGTCCTGACCAGCTGGGACCCAGGTTAGAGTCTTACTGAGAAAAAGAGTCAGCATTATCCATGTTTGCCACTTGCATGCTTCTTTGATGTTTTAGCACTGATTTTCCTCCTGATTCAAATATTTTTCTCCTTAACAGTTAAACCTTTAAACATGTATGTATTTACTTTGTATTTTGAATATGCTGATCAGTTACGGATTTTATTATGCTTTACAAGAAGAAAGTTACCTATTTCTTCTGATGTCCCCTGTGTCATTGCCTCTTAGACTGGATTTTATTTGTATTTGTTTTATATTTTTTAATGAGCAAGGCATGGTATGTTCAACCCGCTTGCTTCTGAGTTGAGGACAAAGATTATGGCTCTTCAGTAAATAAAACAAATAATTTTAAAGCAGGTTCCATCTTGTATGTTATGGGGCAAAGTATAAATTATGATAACCTCTAAGCAGAGTAATTTAGCAGTATCTATTAAAATTATAAATTCATACTTATTATTACAGCATTATTTATAATAGCAAAAATTAGTGCATATCCATGTGCTGGAACACTGCGCAGCTATGAAAAAAAATTAGGACACTTGGGATGGGTCGATATGGAAAATATCTCTAAGAATATTATTACAGAGAAAAAGCAAGGTTTAGAAGAGTGTATATGGGCTGCTACTGTTTGTATAAAAAAAAAGGAAGAAAAGAATCTATAATTGCATTAGTTTAGGATCATTAAAAAACTAGTAACAGTTGTTAACCATTTGGGGGGATGAGAACTAGGCAGATAGAAAACAAAGGTTAACAAAGATACTTTTTGCACTTTTGATGCTTTAAATTGTATAAATTACTCAAAAAGTTCAATAAAAACAGCAACTTTTAAGGAATAGCCAATTAAAAGATGAGATGGAGAACAGTAGGGAAGAGGACTAGGAAAAGCCGTCAAGGGAAGAAGAGAAGGGGAAAAGGCCGAAAGCCAATATTTGAAATTCTCTTTCTCCTCTAGTTGCCAAGCAAAACAGCAGGCTTATTAAGCCTATGCTCCCCAAATCCCTGGCCCCCAACTCCTGTGTTACCCCTCGGTTCCCTGGTACTTCCTGGTAAGCCAAAACCTTTTGCCTGTCGGGCCACCTTTAATACGCAGGAGTTTCCCTGAAGCGGAGTTTGGTCAAATGGAAGCGGTTCCTGTGGGAGGGGCTGTTCTCTCCCCTGTGGTGCCAGAGCCACGGGCGTGTCTCAGAGCCCTCTCCCCGGTGCCGGCAGGGACCTTTGAAACCCGCTGCCCTTTCTCTCACCTGTTTGTCGTGTTCCGCGGGGCCGAGGATAGGAACCGGGCGCTTCAAGCATTCTGGCCACTCGCTCCTTTCCTGTACTTAGTAAAGTGAAAGCTGGGGGTAAAATGATACTTAGAAAAACTAAGTTTTTTCCCTGCTTTGCCAGTAACTCACTGGGTGATCTTGGACGAATCTTATAACCACTGCAAAGTGGATAAATTGTGTTATATCTCAGCTTTATTAGATTACAAAAGTAAATGTAATAATACTTAGAGATGAATAGATGGAAGTCTATTATAAATTTTCAGATTTTAAAAGTTAAGATTACACATAAATAATTATATCAGAAAACTGAAAGCAGGTTCATTAAACAATTTTCATTTCTTATTTGTATTGTTTTGAATGTCCTTTAGTAGGCCCTCTGCTGCCCTTGAGAAAATAATTGCACGCTGTTATCATCAAAAGGAACTGGCTTTAGTTTGCTGCTTTGTCAAATTCAAATGAGAGGGTTTTGCCAATTTAATCTTTTCCCCCTTCTGTTAACTTTTTAAAACTTCAGTTGAACTTGGACCGTTTGTTTATATTTTGCGTGTCATTCAGCTTGGACAGTTAACAAAATACCCTGAATCAGTTTCGCTTTTGTTTCTAGCTATACTTACTTTTCTGTACGTTTTTTTTTTTTTTTTTCTTTTTTTTCATTATCTAAAAAGTCTGTTTGGTTTGATTACTAACACCCTGAAGAAGTCTATGAAATTATACAGATTTGTCTGTATTACTTTGTTGTTGTTTTTATTACTTTTTTATGCTTTTCCAAAAATGATTGAATTTTAACCGGGTTAACTAAGTTAACTTTCTTCTTTTACAAATCTTAAATAAATTATTATTTTTTTTAAAACTTGTAAGGGTTAAAAAAAAATACTTATAAAGCTGGTCTCCCTTACTTTCTAAAACATTCCTTTATTTATTCAGCAATAAATAAGATTCCTACTGTGCCAAACACTATATTAATAGCACAGTAGTCCTGATCCTTGCCGTCATGAGGCTTCTAGTCCGGTGGGAGACATTATAACACATTGAACAAATGATCACACATGTAAATATGTAATTGCAAATTGGGATAAATTCAGTTAAGGAAAGTGTGCAACACTTAGGGCAATTGTTTTTTCCCCCAAACTACCTCTATACTTATACAAGTAAATTTTGTTTGCTTTCTTTGTGTTAGAGCTTATTTAAAATGGGTATGCTTTTCCATAATAGCTCTTTTTCAAATTCATTGTAAAAATGTGTTTCTTCTTTTTAGCCCCAAAAGGAGCACTGAGAAACGTAATCGTGAACAGGAAAATAAGTATATAGAAGAACTTGCAGAGCTGATTTTTGCAAATTTTAATGATATAGACAACTTTAACTTCAAACCTGACAAATGTGCAATCTTAAAAGAAACTGTGAAGCAAATTCGTCAGATCAAAGAACAAGGTAAGAGGACTGACTTAATATTTTGGCACGTTGAGTTGGTTTCTGGTTTTCCATGTGTGCCAAGTCCCTTCAGAGTCCTTTTAATCCATTTCTTATGCTTAAATTATTGATGAGGAAATGATGTCACAGTGCAAGATGAATGCAAGTATCACTTGCAGTGGTTTATAAATAGGCTTTGTACAAAATTCACCCATTCTCTAAAGACAGAGGAGACTGAGGTGAGTCAGAGTGCTGTAACTTTTCATCTAGTAAAACTAAATCAGGGGTGCTCTGATTCTCCTCCCCCACCTTGGAGTTTTCATAGCTTGCACCGCACGTGGCTGCCATAATTTGCAAGTGAAGACCCAGCTGAAGATGGAAACCAGAAGTAAGGAGTAAACCACCTCATGTTTCAGCTAGTCAGCGGATTTGATTAAGTCTGAGCCTCAGCTAGTCATACCACCAGATTAGAATTTCGTATCCTGAAGGACGGATTTGAAAGACGCTAACCTATAGTCAGACTTCTTTCGTGAAGTCGAAACACAGAACATGACAGTTGTCTCCTGGGTTTTCTTTTTTTCTGAGATCATTTTCTGCCTCTCTTCTTTGATATTGTTGCCTACAGAAAAATTTAAGAAAATTATATTTTAAAAAACACATTTGACTTCGTGGTGCCAAAAAAAAATCTTTCTTAGGCAAGTATGAACGGTGTCTCTGGTGCTCAGGGCCAATGTATGCTCCTGAAGTATCTGTATGCTGCTGCCCCTCGGGGCTAAGAAGATTATTATCTCTTGTAATCTGTTTTTGAATGCATACTCCTAGATTTCATATTTTTTTAATCTGTCTTTTATATAATATTCAAAAGAGGCTGATCTTAGGAAGATGATATTTCCTTGTCGTTATAGGCTTTTGACCCTGAATCTGCCTGCTTCTGTCTGTCATAAAATCCTAGCTACCTATTAGCATATTGTCAACATTGCATCTTCCATTTTGAGCTAAATTCTGTATAAAACAGTTTTACAAGTATAGTTCTCTTTTCTAAGAACTTGAAAATGTACATATAGCATACACAACATACTTTCTAATACAGCTCACTCTGAAATTCAGTTTTTATTTCCTGGTTTCTTCATCAAAATTACACCATCATAACATTTAACTAAGGTATTTCTTCTCTCAGTGCCTGTCTCAGTCTGTCTTCATCTCTCTCTCTCTCTTGCTTTCCTATTTGGGGTTCAGTAGTTATCAACAACAGTTTTAATCTCAGTTTTGACATTTTCTCATTTTTTGGTGTCAGCAAATGGATAAAATAATATTCCTAGAGCCCTTAGGAGAATTAACTGGTTAAAGTTTTATAGTAGTTTGATGTCGCTGTGTTTCTAGTTGCTGGTATCCTTGCAGTGGAGAAAATCTTTAAGCTTATTATCTTAGGTTTCTAAAGATTTTGAATGATACAAGTCTGTGAACATTGCATGCTATATAGTACTTTGCTTTTTTAAAATAATTAGATGTATTTTTACCATCAAGGCCTTGCACAAGTTTTTAAAGTTTTGCAAAACCTTGGTAATCCCCGCTTCAAACCATAAAACACGTTAAGATGTGTCACGCTGGGACTGTGCCATACCTTCACTGTAGTTTTAACCATAAGTCTGCATACCACAGCCACCCAGGAAGCAACAACAATAAACTCCCAGTCGCATGCTTATAATAATGTTCCTACAAATTTGAAAAGCAGTATGTTTTGAAGAGGGAAGGAAAAGTGAAATGCCAAAAGAAAAAAAAAAATGAAAAGCACAAGTATACTTTGTAAGTTCTCAACTGATCTAGTATTTTAAGAATATTGCTTGTTTAATGAACTGTTTTTTTTTTTTTTTTTTTTTCCAAAAGAGCATGGGTTTTAAAATCAGACAGAGGCTAGGTATGAATTCTAGTTCTGCCACTTAATGAGCTTTTTGAATCTGAGAAAATCATTTTTCTCTCTCTCAGTCTCAGTTTCCTTTTCTAAGGTTTAATAATAACACCTAGGTTGCATGGTTGTTGAAGAATTTATGAGCTATGTAAACAACCCAGCAAGTAAGTGTTCAGTAGATATTAATTTTCTTGCCCGTATTAAGAAGATAGGCCCTTTTTTTCCTTTGTGTATGCTAAGATCTTCCGACATTGAGCTCTTCTTATAGCTAGAAAGTGGATAAAAAGGTAGGAGATGGTTATTAATATCCTCTTTACAGGTCATTTGAAGAAGGTTAAAAAAATTTTTGGTGCCAGAGAACTCTGCTCAGCCTATGCATACTACTCCACCAGACAGCTCTGTTGGGGACACTTTTTCTTCTCTCAGCTGCTGACACTCGGCAAAGGTTCAAGAGCCACACATAAGTCAGGCTGGAGCCCTTCCCTCTCACCCTATGTCCTCGCCGCCCCCCATAACTGGTTCCCCTACCAATCAGCATAAATAAAATTCAACTACCATTTTTACATTGTTATCCAAACTTAATTTCTGTTTCAGTCACAGTTGTCACCCTTGAATAAAAATAAATTTGGAAGCTCGAGAGAAATGCCCTTTGTACCCTAAGTCTGAATAATTATCCTAGAGAAGTTAAGCTGGATTGTATGAGGTCCCAGACTAAAGAATACAGGTTTGGGAAACCTGGGCTTCTCTGTAAGGAGCCTCTAGTGTCAGAAGCTGTGGTCAGCCAGGCATGATAGGCTCTTTCACGCAAATCAACCCCTCTCATTAGCTGCTCCTCAAGTTTCCATACTGTATAAATGAAAGGGCAGAAAAAAGGATATTTAAAAATGGCCTGGCAGACAAGAATTTGGGAGAGGGAATGATCAGCTGTTTAAATTAATAAGCATTCTTTTGTACGTGGCCCTTTATGAGACACATGTTTGGTAGATGCTAGCCCGCCAAGAGCATTTACACAGAAATGGACCACGTAGACTCAGAGCAGGTACACACGAGAGTGTGTCGCTGCCGTTGTGATCGCTGTGCACATGTGGAATTCCGTACACGATGATGATTTTCCTTTGGCCCACATTCATTGGTCCTGAGTTGGTAAAACTAACAGAAAGATTTCTTTTGGGGGAATTTTTAGTACCAGCAGAGAACTAAATCGTTCTTACTATGTGCCAGGCACTTTTTAAAGCGGTCATATGTCATAACCTATCTAATCCACAAAACATGCCAGGAGATAGGTATGTTTTCTCCTTTTACATGTGGGAACTTGAGACATAGGTGGGTAAGTAGCTGGCAAAGTCACCTGGTCATTAAGTGAAGGAATAGAGATTCAAACCCAGGCAGTCTGGCTCCAGAATCTATGCTTAACCATCACACTCTCTTTTTTATATTGAAGTCTGCTGTTTCTTCATATTCAGTGTGATGCTGACAAATGTTTAAAACGTCTGGCTTATATAACGCACAGACAGTAATCACAGATGTCAAGTAACCTTTTTTCCCCTATTGGAAACAGTAATATTGCATCTATTCCACAGAAAAATAATAAGTAGTATGAGAAATGCAAATGTTTTAATTTCTGGATTACTATATCGTAGAGTATTTCACTCTCTTTAGCTGGAAACTTAAATAGAATTTTCCTTGTAAAATATATGGTGATTTCTATTCCTTTATAAAAATAAAATTGGAATGTAAATTGACTGAAAAATCATTTGCCCTGCTCTGTGTTTAAAGTATTACCTTCTCCATTACCCTAAAGGTAGCCACACCTTTCACTGGTTTTTCTAAAATAGTGATTTAAAACTAATTTTATTATTTGGAAACCATCGACACTACATTTAAAGCCACTTTAATGGAGTGTATTTGAATGCAGGATGTACTATCAGTTAACAAAGAATTGGTCGCAAACTTTTCATATTATTTTTTTTTTAAATCTTTATTAGTAAATAGCTACAAGTATGAAAAAGTATCTTTCAAAAATCTATGTTGGTACAAACTAGAATATGGGGTGGGGGAGCAAGGGGGAAAGAAAAGGTGGTTGAACCAGGCAACCTGAAAGATCATACTGGTTTGTCATTGTAATTATTCTGGTGATATAATTTTGATACGTAATGCCCGTATGAGAACACTGGGATTCCGTATCACTTCATACATGTGAATTTTCACAAATATTGGGGACAATATCAAAAACAAAAATTTTAAAAGAGGTTGGGGGACAGTGGTGTGTTTGAGTCAACTTGTTTCGGCTCCTAAGAGCCAATTGTTACGTTTACAGGAGTTTTGCAAGTCAGTTGTTAAACAGTCATTACTAAAAATCATGTAGACCTACAATTAAATAAATTACATAAAAAACAAAGGTAAGGACAACTAAAAAGAACTCACATTTCCTAATTATTTTCTGCATTTTACCAGTGTGTATGCTCTAGAAAATGTATCTATATGGTAGAAATACTGTAAAATGGTGGCTACGGCTCATCTCTTCTCAGCTCTGATTGAAATCAGCCCCAGAGAGAGCATTCACATCACGGAGGTTGGTAAACACTATAAATCAGGGTGTGATTTATTGTTCTGTTGACTGTCGTTCTAGACTTAACCAAGTAACGGAGAAAATATTAATAAATAGCATCTAAGTAGCTGTTACATTGTGACTAGCACCAAAAACAAAACCTGAGGAAATATTCTTCCAGTAGTCTAAAAATATTATCCAATTCGGCAAAAAAAAATTGCTCACGAATTGACAAGTGAATTTCCGCATATGATATACATCTTCATTGTTTCAGTTTTGTCTTATTCATTAACATAAATGAAAATTTCAGCCAGCATTCATGTTGAAAATATACTCTTTCATCAGTTCTAATCATAGATTGACTATGATACAAGAGTTTGGCAAAAAATCAAGGGAAGCATTATTTGAGAATCAGTTGGGTGTATGGAATTGACAATGCAGAATATTGTATATTTTATTATCATTTGCATATTGCGTGCTACACATTCTTTATGCCAGTGAAATATATAATAAAATTGTGATGTATTTTTTCCCCCAAAGAGCTGATTTTTAACCATTTTTCAGTAC